AAGCAAAAAACCGTGTTCGGAGCAAAATTTTGTTCCCCTAAACATTTCGCATTGGTCAGGAAACTTGAGAGTAAGTGTGATGCAAGTTATTATCCCAGCTGCAATATTGTGTCCACCAATTCATATCATGTGATTTAGAATTTGGCACGTACTTCAGTCGGACAGACTGTTTTTTGTAGGTTTCGCTTGAATGACCGAATCTCTTGAGAGTGCTACCGAAATTTTTCGAACTATTTAATTAGGTCGATTTTGTTGATGCATATGAATTATTTGTTCATAATATGTCGAAATTAGCAGCATTATTATTACCGTCTTTCGGATTTCCCTCAGAGCACTTGCTGTGCATTCCAGTCGTTTCTGTTGATGTGATTCGTATTTAGAGAAGAACAAGATTTGTGATGAAAGGGTGTTAGCAGCAATGTTGAGTGTTGATAGAGCTGACTTTTGTCCAACGAACACCTATGACGATAAACCGCAATCAATTGGCTACAATACCACTATCAGCGCTCCTCATATGGTTGGTATTCATGTGATCACATTTATTGGAATATTTTCATTTTAACCTTCAAGATTTCATTCCAACAATGCCAGGTGACACTCCTCCATAATTTTTGCTGTATTCAAAAACTTGAAGGTTTTCAGAGTAACATTTTTAGTAGATTCGTCTGCGTTGATCAACAATATATCCAATTTTTTCTATTTTTTATGCAGCTTCCATGTGATTGGCTTTCTAGCATGCGATAACATTGGAAACACTGAAGGATCACCTGAAGAAGGGGGCCAGCGCATTGGATGTTGGCTCTGGTTCAGGCTACATAACTACTTGTATGGCCGAATTGGTTCGTAGAGTTCTCGTTTCATTCATTTTGAACGCAAAAATGCAGTCAATTTTTGAATCTGATATCACAACATCAAGATACTTCTCAGTCTGACTATTGAAGTACCTTCGAGCAGATCATCATACTGAGTAAAATAAAATGATTTCTAAACAGATGGTATAATTTGAAGGTGGGTGAATCCGGTAGAGTAATTGGCATAGATCACAAAAAAGAATTGGTTGAGCTGGCCAAACGTAATATTGAGAAGAGCCACTCTTATTTGTTATCGTCCGGTCGTATCATCATGGTTGAAGGCGACGGTCGTGAGGGATATCCAGATCACGGACCCTATGACGCTATACACGTTGGTGGAGCTACACCGGAGATACCGCAGATGGTACTTCTTATATATGATTGTGATATTAGCTTTTGTTGCTGGTGCGAAGACGACGATTGAAAACTTAAATTATCCACAAGAATTAATAAGGACGATAATGAGAATTGAGTAGAGTGATCATACAACTGATGAAGGGATAACGATTGCGAAAGATGTCGATGATGGCGAGTACAGTAGCTACGGCTGACGATACTGATTACTAGTGATGGGATCGGAGCGAAATTTCGTTCGGTCGGGATCCGACCAAATTAGCATTTCGCTGTTCCGACAATCGGAATTCCAAATTCCGATCGAAACTGTCGGATTTTTTCGACCGAGTGTCGGTCGGATCCCATCACTACTGACTAAACTAACAACACGCTAACTAACTACACTAATCTACTTATCTAGTCATTGGGGTTAGCTAATTACGAAACTATGATCACATGCTACAAATGGTGGTCAGAGAATACACGATATGCAAAGCACTGTAGACAGACATACACGAGACTCTAGGCAATATACTAGAGGTTATAGACTTATCTCAATATCATTCTTCAATATATTCGAAATCACATATTGCATGCTGTGTTTTACAGTAATCACGATCTTGAAACAACTAAAAATCTCACTATGTTCTGATTCAGATGGATCTTCAGGAAAGTGCCTGCCATATTCATCCATCTTATACTTTTGAGTTGTGATCGATATTATCCAAAACAAATCTAAGACTTCCAGGAAGGAGAAAGTTTTCTTCCTAGAATTCTGAGACTTGCTGCTTTTTTTGCAGTAGATGTCATCATCTTGTGAAGTCGATATTCAATAAGTTCATGTTTCAGTTGTTTGATCAGTTGGCCCCGGGTGGTTGTATGCTCGTTCCAGTGGGTCCAGCGGGCGGCGATCAGCACTTAATGCGGGTTGACAAAGATGAAAATGGTATAATGAATGTTTGTCATATAATGGGTGTTATTTTTGGTGCTTTATCAAGTAACTAAAACGTAATACGTTGATTTGAACAATTTCGCCTGATGTCATATTTCGTAGTGACGACGGCATTCGAACAAGATTCCTGTTCGGTCGGAATCTGATCTAATCGATCTTATCGGGTGAAAATTTTTGTTAACGGTGTCCTCCGTTGAGCTTATTCATCGTTTCATTCTGTCGATGTTTCTTTTCAAGTTGAATTGCTTCAATAATTGGATTGCATTCCACGTGTATTCTTTTTCATTCCATTTAAATGGCGAATAAATATTTCGCAGTTCAAAGAATGAGGTGTTACCTACAGATGTTGCGATGCGCCATGTTCGGTGCAGACAGTACAGTAATAATGGTGATGGATAACAATAGAAATGGGTATATTGTTTTGGTGGAGGGGTGGTTTGAGGAAGAGTGCACCGAATAAATGAATAGAATAACATAAAACAAGGTGGAAAGAGGGGATTGGTGGACGTTTCGGTATGAAAACACTAGACCTTAAAATATGAGTGGTATTTGATCTGTGTTTGTGACCGATGATAAGTGCAAAAATATCAACATTACTTACAGTGAATCGCAATCTACTAAGTGAGATCCACATTACGAATTATTTTAGTACCGCACTTGAATTGACCATTTGTTTAGAAATAGAACGGAACAGAACATTTGAAGGGCGGAATAGAACAAAATAGAACAGTTTGCCAAGGGGTTTATAAGTGTTTTGTTTGCGGTTGTCTGATGTTTTGGTTTGTATGCATTGTGCATTATTTTACACTTTGTTTCCGTATTTTATTTGTATACATTACATTTTTTTAGCTCACTATCAATGTTGTCACCAAACAAAGCGCATTTCACCATCGATTTTCAGCATTAATCGAGATGAAAAATCTTCTCGATTCATTTGATGCACATCAAAAATATCATCCTAATTGGAGTTTTCATGACGTTCCCCTTGCAGTGCAT